CATTGTTTTGCAGAATTTGGATTTCAAGTTTCCTCTAACAGGAACATGCATTCACTTCATATGCTCTGTATTGAAGAATATACTGCCATCAAATTGCTTAGGATTAAGCCACTGATTGAGGTAAAATCTGAAGACAGATGGTGGAGAATATTTCCAATGTCATTAGTGTTTTTTTATCAACATTGTACTGAAAACATGAACTTGCTGTATATTCCAGTTTCATTTCTGCAAACAATAAAATCCTTCCCTCCTGCAACAACAGGTTAACTGCTCCCTCTCAATATGTATCTCTGTCTGTGTTTTCTTTTCATGGTTTTCTTTATCAGTATGAAATTTCACATTGCTTGTATCTTGGCTGATTTGTGTGTATGTACCACAGTCATTCTTCAGTGGTTAATTTGGAGAAAAGTTATTGAGCGGGGCGCATATGGGCTTCATTGGTACCCATTGTTGGGGGAATGGTTCTAACCTCCATAGCCAAGCTTAGTTTCCAATATATTTGGATTTTGTGCTGCCTTGTTCGGCTGCCTTGCCACATCCACAGAGACAATTCTAGCAGAATCCCTTCTTCATGGATAAAGGTTTGATAGGTACCAGTGCTTTATCTGTAATTTCATTTTCATCTACTGTTGAATCATTAGCTTTGCCTTTTGTCGCAGCTGATTGCACACCTTTATTCATAGTGAGATAAATCCTCTATCACATGCATGACAAAGATTTTATTAGAAATAAAAAAAAATCTCATCTTTTCTTTTTATTTGTGTCCTTGGTCCATATGATAAGGTAGCGCATATGGAGGTTTTCGTTGCATGTCACTTCCCATGGCCAATTCATGTCGATCACACAGTGGGAATTTATTTTGTTTAATCAGTCTTCTAAAACCTCTTATTTATATTATGTGACCGGAATGAGGGTTGAGGTTGCTCACGCTTCCTCATAACTTTTCACTCCTAGATTTCTTAACTATTTCTTTGGATTTGGTGTTGATTCCCAGTGGTGCTGGTATAGTCTTCAATCATCACTACGATCATGTTCACAGGATATTGACATCTCGAATGTATGTATCCTACGATGATCTTCTCAATTTTAATTGCATATTATTTGGTTATATTTCTTAAGTGAAATTATTTTTATTTACTTTTGCTCTAACAATCTAAGATATAATCTGTCGTCAAGGATGTGCTCATCTAAATGATTACAACTTCATCAACGCACTCGCTTACAAAGATGCAATCTTTTCGTGAAACCCTTGTCAACTTGCTTGATGCCATCTTTTGGCCCATGGGTCCATTGTAGCCTCGAACCAGACTTGATCATGGGGGACCGAGCATGGTGTCCTCTTTCTTCGCCACCCTCTGAGTGCTGCCCCTACATCAACCTCAGCATTGTCAAGGATGACAACGACGAACCCGAGGAGGCCAAGGAGCACCCCCTCTTTCTCACAAACCCCATCCTATACGACGAGGAGGATCCTTCCTCTAATCCACTCAACTTCCCCCCTTCTTATGCTTGCCCTCATTATCCACTATGGAAACCAAAATCCTTGAAATCGATTGGATTATTAATGAGCATTTTCTGTGAGGAAGCCAGCTACAACCATGAATGTGTCATTTGCTTACAAAGAGTTATTAGGGAAGGTGTTCGATATAATGTCTGTGTATGTCTGTGCTTTTCATTTCATTCATGTTTTAGGCAGCATCTAAGGGGCTTACAGTAGGCTTGATGGTCCTATTTTGATTGGGTTTTGTGCCGTTTCAGACTTGTAAAGGCAGCATGTGTATGGTCACTGTGCAGAGATAAAACTGCCTAAAAACAAGGCCTTCTTTAGCCAATCATTTTGGGTGTTTCCATTTAGCATGACCTTGATCACTAGAACCATCATTGTTTAGCATGGTATTGATACCTCAGAATGGTAATGACTTTGAATACTGAATTGGAATGTTCACTATGTGGATTAGTATGTCTACCGTGCCCAAATGTGCTCATCAACATAGCATACCATGATGAGAAAATTGAAAGCTAACGGAGATTTTCATTGCGTGCCACTTCCATGTTGGGTTCATGTGGGGCACATATTGGAAATTTATTTTGTTTAATCAGTTTTCTAAGACCTCTTATTTATATCATGTTATGGGACGAGAGTTGGTTGGAGGCTGCTCACTCTTTGTCGCAAATTTTCACTTAGATTTCTTAACTATTCTTTTAGATTTGATGTCGATTTCCATTGGTGCTGGTATTTTCTTCAATCTTCTCCATGATTGTGCTAGTAGGAGCTTGTCATCTCGGTTGTATCCTAAGATGGTTTTCTCAATGAAACTTGAGTGGAGGCTGGGGATACATCTTAGGACAACGAATCACGCCTTTGGTTTCTTTCTAATCGTCGTTCTCAATTTCAGTCACATATTGTTTGGTTAGATTTCTTAAATTGGAATGCTGTTTATTTACTTTTACTCTTAACAGACTTTCTGTGAACAAAATGTTCTTTTAGCTCTTTAAATTGTGTCTCATTTAAATGAATATTTAAACTACATATTTGTTTGCTGCAGTATGTAACTTCTAAATTTATATTCAACATTTTTCATGGGTGATGAGGAATGTCATGAATGAATGTTTTCAACTTATTATATTACTTTTTTTTCTTCATCAGTGCATTTCTTCTTCGCATTTAATGATGAAATCTCTAGCTTTAGACTCTAGTATCTGCTAATTATGTTCATATTGTCTTGCAACTTAGCGAGTTCTTTTGCACCAATAGCATACTTCAACTGGTCCTTTCTCTGAGCATCTTAACTTTGATATCACCTGTGTTTGGAAACTGATTTATTTTCGTAAAGTAGAATTTCCTTATTTTTGCATGTTTATGTGCTTGCGCACCCCGTGCGTGCGTACATGTGTCCATGTTGCATGCGTGCATGCGCTCTACCGTGCCAACTTTAAATTGGCCTGTTGGTTTGAATATTTTGCTGATGATCCATGTTAGTGTCATGTCTCCACATCACCGGCATGCCTGTACGATGGGCCTTGGCATTTTTCGTTAGAAATGCATTACTAAGATGTGAGATCGTAGATCTGCAGCGACTTATGACATGAGCTATTAGATTCTTTTTTCACATGTTTTATGAAGCACTTACCATCACATTAGTTCTGTCCTACCAACCTGTCATGCAATTAGGCCAGGATTACGACGGGGACATGCTTAGTTGGTCAAATGCATAACAAGGGATATGCAGTTAGGCTTGCCCTTAAATCCGACGGTCTTCTGGTATGTACATCTACTCCTGCAATGTTTGACGACATTATGACCTTAAGGGTGACTTCATTGCACTTATTGTTGAGGACTCTTGATCCCAATCAATCATTTTAATGTAGGATGCTTTCAATACTTGATCCATGAACTCATATAATTTGTCAATATATAGTTAACAACTCTGCTTTGTACAGTCTCCTATCCGAATATATATGGCTTTAATCTATGTGGGCATAGCTATGCTGGTGTAGACACCTACTTTGGACCGTAGATGCCAGATTTAAGTGATCTTGGTGACATTTCTCTTGTTTTTGAGAAAATAAGAGTAGTTTTATTTTGTAAAGTTATACGCTTGTATTCAAGAATAAGAAAGTGCCATCAACATATATAGGATTGAGAATAGCTCCATTTAAGCAGGGAAGCACTCACTTGAAAATGTTATTTTACTAACCATTTTCTTTCTCTGTTTGGATCAGTCATAGGCAATTGATCACAACAAGCCTATCATAAATTGATGCCATTTTGGTAAGTCCGAGTCTTGTCTGTTCTTCAACTTGGTGACAAAGGATGTCATGAAGAAAGCTTCCCTGCATATGCATATCCAATAAATTACATTTGTCTGATAGATATACTCTACTGGCCTTCATCATTTTACTTTGCTCTTTGGTATTATGCTAATTTGGCTACATTCCTCTTATGTAGCATAAACACAGTATACTACTACCACATGGCACTTTATGCAACCATGATATTGGCTAATCCCAGCAATGTTACTTGAAGGTGCTGGTGGAGTGGTAAACTAATTATATACATGCACCAGTCTATATGTTCATCAATGGTCATCATTTTCAGCTCAGGGGTGTTGGCCTTTGGTCTCAATTTCTCAACTTGTATGTCATACATTCTACTACCGCAGTTACTCTTCCAATGTCACAGGCAACCTTGAAAGTAAGTTCGATATAATTTACAGTCCTCTTCTATACTCCTCTTCTTTAACCATCTATGTTACATGTTTGGGTATCAAATATGAATATGCTGTCGGCCGCTGTTGCCATGTCGGTGTCATGGCTTATTTTCTACGGGCATGTTGTCCCGGAACACTGAAAACTGCGAGCAACCCTCGGAGTCGAATGGAGATGCTCCCCCTTGCAAGTTATAAGCAAGCCATTCTGTAAAGGAAGAACAAAGTTTCATATGGTCATAGTACCGTACGGATTACATGAGTCTTACTTTTTTTTTTTTCTTTCCAGAAGGGTGGGTTTTTGTTTTTTGGGCACAAACTTGAGTTGTTTATAGTTTTCTACTGGAATCAAAGGTATTCTTGGAACACTTGTAGTTGTCCTTCTGGTAATCCTAATTCGCATTACTATTGTTGCGTTCTTAGATTTTTGATCTCGTCTCACCTGTTGTTCTGTTTCATATTTGATGTATGATGGTAGATGGCGTTTTAGGTTATGTTAAAGGTGTTAATCACTTAATACGATGGTTAAATATCATATTATGTTGGATGAATTTTTTAGTGATATCTGATACTATTATTTTTTATCCTCTCCGTAGGGGCTTCCTTATGATTCGTGGAGAGGACAGTCGATGGAAGGCACGGTGGTCGGGATCCGACGGTGTCGCTGCAGCCGGCTATCAGGAGATGACACGTACGCCAATCTGCGGAGAGACGTGTCCTGGAGAGAGCTTTTCTCTTGTTCGTGTGTGCCGCTGGTCGGCACACGTAGCTATATTTGCGGTGAAGTGAAGTGGAGGGAGAACACGGATGGAGGATAGAGGAGGAGAACAGCAGGGAGGAAGATGGCAGAGTAGGGATGACATCAAGCACGGGGCGGCGCAGGCGAAGCTGTCGGACGACGAGATGCTGCGGGTGGGGTACAAGCACGGCACCCCCTTGGAAAGCGGCAAGATCTCCGACGCCGAGCCCGTCGACCTGTTCGTCGACGCCCGGCGGATCTCCGAGGCCACCAAGAACGCACGCCCCGCAGAAGAGGAGCCCAACTCCGGAGGACTAAGCTGTCAAGGAAGCCACCGCACTAGCAATTAATGCAATCACAGTAGCAGTTCTCGCTCTCTCTACCAACGACCACTTGGATATCTCATGTTTTCTTCTCGTCGTCTTCCTGTTCTTCTTCTTCTTCTTTCCATGCAAGAATAAGCTGATCGTGAGTGTAGAAGACACCGTGCTTTAATTTTCGTGGAAGTTTTAATGTGATGTTGGTTCTTCATGTTCCTTGTAAATTGGCTGCAAAAGTATAAGATTCGTTAATATTTCCTTTGGTTTAAGAACATCTGGTACCATAACATGATCAATAATGATATAGCTTACTTAAATGAATGGCCTTCAGCGTCTGCTATGGTAGAAATCATATTTGATTCCTGAGAATCTAATGTTGGATGATCCACCAGGAATCAACAAAACAAGGTTTTAGTTCAGGTTGATACTTTTCTTTGCGGGCTGCAACTCAGATGAAGACCGACCAACTCATATTTGTCCCAAAACTCAATCGTGTTCATTCATCGTTGGATTTGGCTTGGCATGCAATTTAGGTCCAGTGAAGTTGGAAATCATGGATGGAACTGCGCACAAAGTTCCGAGTAATGTTGCTGATCACAACATTGTCCGTTTTGGTCGAGAGCTTTTTTTGATGGTTATAAATAATCATTTTTTACATGGTTCTCAGTGTTGAGCCTTTTCAAGATGACAGACACTATCCAAACCCTAATCCACAAAAAAGGGTAGGAAACTGATGATTGGTGAAGTAATAATTTTGATGGCTGCTCCAACTTAGAACTGATAATTTACTATGCTTGTCTCATGTAATCTAGCTAACAAAAGCTAAAACATCCAATCAAATGGCCATCTTTACAGTAGCACCAGGTTTACTGGGTTCATGACACTGCATGCTGGCAGGCAAAGTCTCTCACAGATCGTGAAAGACATGGACAGTTTTTTGAGGACAAACTGGAGCTTTTGGGAAGCTGACAGGTCCCAGAGCAGGCATCTGATGTTTGCACCATGAACTAAGCAAGGGCAAAGGCAAAGGCAAAGCACATATATGTACTGGGAAGATGAAACCTCTGCATATGGAATCTCTCTCTCTCCTCTCACTGTGGCTTCTTATCTTCACCGAGAATCTTCCTCATCAAATTGTAGCTCATTAACCGTGTTTTCGATGACCAACCTATATATCTATCTATCTATCTATCTATCTATCTATCTATCAATTTTGTAGCTGGAAGTCAACTCATGATGAGATTAGCAAGTCTGCAACTGGAAATCTTCATCTACATCACAATCTTCACTGCTTTTCTAGACTTCCATGGATGCTCAAAATCTGAATAATTTTGAACATATGTTGAAGCAGTGAATGGGTGTTTGTGACACATAAATTTGCAGTCACGAAGACAAATGCTTAATATTTAAATGCCGTAAATTTATCTAATTTTGGATTGGCTGACGAAACATTTTCTCCATTGGGGTAATCTATCTCTGATGATATTGTCGTGACACAAAAAGAATGAAATATTGCCATCAGTCCCCAATTCCATCACTGCCAACGTGGCCAAATTAAATGTAATATATAGTATATTCCTGCAAAATTAGAGATTTCTATATATATATATATATATATTTGTAACTAAAATTCTAAAATTAAGAATATTTTAGATATATTTATATATCCTTTTTAGTTCAAATTAGGTAATTAAGGACATATATTCTTTATTTTCAAATTTCTAAGATAATAAATATGTAAAATAGGTTTTTTGATGACTCAAAATACAGAAATGCGACAATAACAATACCCCATCCATCACAAATGACGATCTCATGCTTCATGCAGTCTGATGATGAGCAAGATAACAATTAAGATCGTTAATAGTCGGAAATCTAAAAGTCAAAATGTGGCTGAACTAATGTAACATCATGAGAAGCGGAAAGGAAAGATGACATGACCACCATTGACCCCATCTCATCCCGTCTCCAAGGACATGATTGGTGTTCTTTTAAGCTAAATTACGGCTACAGTGCGATCTTGCCATGTTCTTCTTCCTTAAAAAGATAGTTAAATGGAACTGGGCCTTGTGGCGTTCTATTGCTACAGCAGCCACGGGCTCGGTTCCCATTCTTACAAGCGAGTTGGGTGCGAGGAGGTGGGGTTAGAAAAGGGACAAAGGCGCTCGCTTTTCCCACTCGCTTTGCCCAGAGACCAACGAAGCCGAGAGGTGGGGCGGGGGGGCGAGGGGAGAGAGAGAGAGAGAGCCGAACACCAAGCCGATCTCCTGTTTAATAGCATCTGGAGAGGGCGTGGTGCCCCTTTGCGAAGCCGAGGAACCCGAAGGAGAAGAGCGGCCGTAAGCGGGCACAGGAGAAACCGAATCTCTTGCCCTATTCTCCGCAGAAGATGAGTTCTTTGGCCCCTCTTCCGTTCCTTGGGTGCATTTCTTGATTTGTGGGGTTTCTTCAACCGAAAATTTGGATTTTTCTGTTCTCCGCCGTGGATTTGGTGCTTGCTAGGCTTTGAGGCACATAGGGAAGAAGATTGGGGCGTAAGGCCATCAAAAAATGGGATCTTGGGCGTGGAAGTGGCTGGAGTGGTGATTTTTTCTATTTTGTTTGGTGGCTTCTTTGGTGGAAGTTTCTTGGGAATTTTGCGGGGATGCTTGTCGCAGGTTTGTAGTTCTCTTTCCGGGAGACAAAATTCCACTTTTGAGTCGTTTTATGCTCTCTGAGTATGGATTTGCTAGGATTTAGGATTTCGGAGCCCAGAGTTTTCCCTAGCAGGGCAAAGGTCGGGTGAAGGTTCGAAATATCTCGATCCATCTTTTTGTTTGCTGGGCATTTTCCTTTTTAACATTTGTGGGTTTCTTCCAGGAAGTCTGGGGTGGAATTTGTTTCCTGCCTGTGTCAGTGGGAAGGAAATCTGACCTTTTCTCTGTTCTAATTGGGGCTTTTCATTAACTTGTCAAGTTTGGAGTTTGAGGCGTTTTGTTATCCTATCGAAGCCTCTTTCTCCTCTGCTACTTGTTTCTGCAACGAGTAGTATGGAATAAAACGGAGGTTTCATTCCAGATATTTGAAAGTCTAGTCAACAATATTGCATTACTATTGGTTTTCCTTTACGTGCTGAGATACTCTGTCCGGCAAAAGCAGCTTCCAGGAAGATGTCAGAGCAAAAATTGACAGATGAGCAGAGATTTAAGGAAGACAAGATGATGAGAATGTTGTTTGGTCAAGGAATGGATAGGATGGACAGAGATGGGTTTGATGGCTCAAAACAAGAACATCACATATTTATGGAGGTTTTTAGTGTAACTAGTGTTGACACAGCAAGTAATCATAACATTGCTTTGAACACCATGGATCTCCAAAAAGATGAAGGCAGCCAATCAAAATTGGTTGAATCTTCGAATTGTGAGAGCTCAGTTCTGACTAGTTCTTTTTCCACCAAAGATTCATCTGGCGAAGCTTCCCAGCCTGCTTGTGTTTATGCGAGACAGGTTAGCGGTTCCAGATGCTTTGCGGATATCTCTTCCTGTTGTGGTGTTGCAGATCCTTATGATGCTGACATCAAGTGCATGAAAGTATCATCTATCGAGCAACAAAATCATAAGAGCGTTATGCAAAGCTACAGTCTGTCAGTCACCGGTGATGATCTGCTTGACCTGGATCGGTTACAAAATTCTTCAAGCATGCTAATGCAGCGTCAACAACAATCACCATGTCTTGTAATAGAAACTTGTTCTCATGATATCTTATCTAGTTGCTATCTCTCCAAAACAAATAAAGAAATTGATGGTAGTGATGATATGGATGATGGTAATGCTTTGGATATTGAATGCAAAAGCCAGGATATAAGAGACGATAAGATAATTATTGAAGCTAAATCTGTTACTTCACCTGTTTCTCAAGAGAGCTTTGCTTCTGGGCTTCTGGTAGTAAATGCAGCAGCTGCTCCTGCAGAGACACCAGGGGTGCCCATACACATGAAACATATTGTAGAAGAGTCCAGCATTCTGAACTCCGGCTCAACTGATGTTGCATCCAAGAGGGCATTGATTAGAGAACTTCCTGAACGTCTTCGTTTGCATACAAATCGCCTTCTTACTGATGCAGGCTGGAAAATTGAGCCTCGTGTGAGAAGTGACAGAACCAAATTGGCTTCCTACTATATAGCACCTAAAGAAAAACTTGTTGTTACATCACTATCTCAAGCTTGGAAGGCTTGTGGTCGGAGACTCTATTCCAGTGCAATGGACTCTGAACTGGAAGATAATGGGAGGGAGTGGACAAATATCGATAGATTTTGGAGTGATTTGACAGACACGCTGTTCTACGTTGAGGAGAATACTCAGTCCACTAAAATTTCCATTTCTCTTTTGAAAAGATGGCAGCTTCTTGATCCATTTGTTGCTGTGGTCTGCATCAATAGGAAGGTTGGTGTTCTGCGAGAAGGAAAGTCTCTCAAGGCTGTGAGTAGTGCTACTTTCATTCTGAGTGAGGATGGTAATACCATCTTGGCAGGTGAGAGCAAAGATAGAGTCATTAAACTGGCAACGCTGGATTCAAATTCAGGAAGTTATTTGAATTATAATGTTCTGCCAGCTAGTCAGCTTGATCATGAGTTTGGAGTAACTGAAGTTTCCAGAAACCAGCAGAGAATACATAATTGCCATGATTTGCAAAACAGCAGCCGACCTAAGCAACAAAAACGAAAATTTTCATGCTCTGCTGGAACACAAGGAAAGAACGTTAAAAGTCTGGCTGCATGCTCAGGAAATGGCTTGCATGGTACCAAATGCTCACATCACGTAAGTTGTGAGGATTCATCCAGTCCAAACTATGCAGTAAATGGTGCTGACACTTCTTTTGCAGTGAAAGATTCATTCTCCAATCCTATCGATGGTCTTTTAGCTCAAGATTCCCTTGCACCTGTTTTAGAAACATTACCAACCGATGCCCTTGCTCCTTTTTTAAAAACATCACCAACTGATGACTCAAATGCTTGCAAATCTGCTTCCACTGATAAATCCTTATTTCTTCAAGAAAGTAATGTTCCATCCAGTTCTAATGCTGAACACCTTGTTGGTAATGGACCATGCAATTGCAAACCAAACCGAAAAGGTTTTAAAGAGGCAAGACAACAAAGAACAGTGATTTCTGCGAAACGGAGAGTATATGGTAAGCATTTAACAAAGTCTGTTCACTGTGATAGGCTAGATCTGCTTAGTCATGAGAATACGGCCAACATAATAGTGGTAGTTGATGAAAGATTGGCAACACAACCTTCAGATTTGATTCCAGGCTGTGAAGATGGGCTTCTTGCCTCTAACATTCACAGTGATATTATAACTGAAAAGGTGGCCATCAAGGCTTCTGAATCTAAGGATCAGAATTTTTCAGTGAACCAAGTAAGTGATTCGGGTAAAAAGGTACATAAGAAGTCCAAGAAGATATCTGAAATTAGAGCATCAAAAGTAGATGGCACAAACGATGAGAAGTCCATGGAGGCTTTAAATTTCCGTTTTGATGACAGAAGTAATGATTATACTGAAACCCAGTGCAATCAGGAAGATTCCCAGACACTTGCATTTGAGTCAACTTTAGGGTGCATGAAAGAGAACACGTGTGCAACAGTAGAAGATTGTTCAAATGTTAAGAAAAAGATGGTCAAATCAGAATCCAAAGCTCCCAGGCAGCACCTGAAGGGCAGGAAAGGAAAATTTGCCATGTCTTTGGTGAATAAAGAAGCAAGTAAATCGATACCTGCTGTTATAGATGAAGAACACATGCCATTCCTCAAAAGGAACAGTTGCAATGCAAAGGGTTTGAGTTCCCAAGTGCTTCCCCCACCAAATTTGCCTTCCTTGTTAAATAAGGCCCACAAGTGTACTGTTTTTGATGATTCAGTTGTTGCACCAGATGATGGCAATACTTCTACGGGTGGCAAGACCATAAATGCCGAAGTTTTATGTTCTGATAATCCAACTGAAGAAAACAAAAAGCTTTCCAAGCCAAAGGTACCTGAAGCTTGTAAGAAAAGAAAGTGGAAGAGACCACGTGGATTCCGTATTAATGATGATGACCTTCTAATTGCTGCTATTATTAAAAACAAAGATTACATCTCCTGTAATGACAAAAAAGGCCCCAAGCTAGGTGTTTCAAGACCAAAAATATTAAAGAAACATGAAAGTCAAAAAGGAGGTTGTAAGTTGCTATTGCGAACACCTGGAAAAGGTGGACTGTCCAAAGATGGGAAGGGAATTAATTTGGGAGCAAGATCAGTGTTGTGCTGGTTGATTGATAGGGGTGTTTTATCCCTTAAAGATGTTCTACAGTATAGGAATCCAAAAAACAATGCTTTGGTCAAGGATGGGTGGATTACCAGAGACGGGATTTTGTGTAAATGCTGCATGGAAATATTCTCTGTATCTGCATTCAAGGCTCATTCTGGTTCAAAGTTCCAAAAACCATCTTCGAATCTTTTCCTGCAGTCGGGTAGATCATACACCTTATGTCAACTTCAGGCTTGGTCTGCTGATTACAAGGCAAGAAAAGGCCGCAAGAGAGATATGAGAGTTGAGGAGGTGGATCAAAATGATGATACTTGTGGACTTTGTATAGATGGTGGTGAGCTAATATGTTGTGACAATTGTCCCTCTACTTATCATCAAACCTGCTTGACCATTCAGGTAGTTAATTTTGTTTGCTTGCTTTTCTTTGAACATGAGATTTGGTTATGCAATATTATTATTTTTCCAGTTTTGCACATACCTTGATCTTAAGAAGTCTGCTATTTTTGTCAATCTGGCCATTTGCTTTTTCAGAATGTTTGTGTGCCTTTAATTAGAAAAAAGTATCCTGCTATTTTTTTCTTTGCTTGCATTTTTTTATGACCATGTTCATTATAATTTATCTGAGTTGGTGGCAATCAAGCTTCACTTCCAAATATAAACTGTCATGCTTTAAGTAATTTTTCTTGAAAATAAGGGCACACAATGAATGTGTGAGTGCAGGATGTCTCCAATGCTATACCACCAAGTATACCATTTTGGATGCCACATATATATAATATTTACACAATTCTTTTCTGTATGGATAGGAGATGGTTGAAACAAGTGAAATGTAACTATGGAAGCTCATATAATTTAATAGAGGGGCATATCAGTAGTTGAAAAACTTTGATGGTTATGAATCTTTTTATTAGATTAAATATAAACAAGACATATAGCTCATCTAGGCCTTTTTAACCCTAGTTAGTCCCAATGTCAATATGGAAGTTTGTAAATGCTTTTGGAAACTATTCATGCAGTAATAAATTCATGTGTTATGTGTGTCACTGACAGAGTATAGATTAAATATAGTACTACTCTTTGGCATATTTGCACTTGCTAAATGAAACTTAGTGAAAGAAAAAGAACCAGTGGAAACCACATGTTCTGCTGCAAAATGTTTCTCTATTGTGTAAAATCCATAAATTATTTATGATAATAAATCTAAAGAGAAGGAAAAGAAGTTGCAACAAGATCCTCCTTTTTATGCCTACTAACATGTGAAAACATCCATGTGTAACTTCCCCATCTCCTCTCACCTTAATCTATCCATCTTAATTGAATTAGGTACTATCATCAATTTAACCTTTAATTATTCCATCAAAAGACTTGATCATCATCAGAGTATTTCTGTTTCTTTTTTGTGTCTACTTTTAAGAAATTGCATCACAGTAACTACTAGCTGCTGGTCAAAGAGAAAAGGTAACCTTTTGAAGGAAAACATTATTGATATACAACCAAACTTATAGATGTAATTGGAGAATATTCTTTCATGGAACATTTCTTGATTTTGTTGATAGGTTGGGGATGTATGGAGACTATTTATTCTTGCTTTCCAGCAATTACAATTTATGTATTTTTTAAGGAAATTATATGTCTTGCATGGCGTGTCACAATCTGGCTGACTCAACTTGATGGGATAATTGACCTGTTTCGTTGAGCCTGAACTACCGGTTCAAAATGCTTAAGCTGAAGTTAATAATAGTACACTCATTATATCTTTATAAGCTAATCATAGTCTTAGTCAACTTCCGATGTGAGACTAATCAGAGTGTTACAGTCTCCCTCACCAAAGGGTTTGGCATCATCGTAAAGGCCTGACATAGCCTAGATAAAATCCCAGCATGGTGCATGTGAGGTATAATCCAGTGATGGTTTCACGTTGTGACGTGTCGTCTTACCCCGTCTACTGATAGTTCTTTGTTACTCGAGCCCTTCACCATGCTTCAATACTAGGTTGACTTTGATACCAAATGTCACAACCCGACTTGATGAGATAACTGACCTGTTAACTTTGTTGAGCTGAAACTACTGGTTAAAAATGTTTAAGCTAAAGTTAACAATAATACACCCATCATACTCTTATAAGTTAATTTTAGTCTTAGTCCACTTCCAACATTGGACTTGAGATATAACAACATGACTTCATCTTGTAGAACATGCAGGTCTGTGTATAAGATCCTGTTGTATCTCTATGTATAACTTTGTTCTTCATAGATGTTAGACAAGCATCATTAGTAATGTAGTTTTCGTGATCAATGATGCTGAATTCCACTTAAGTTTGTCATTGGGATACTAGAATGATCAGTCATTTTTTGTAACAGTAGTTGAGTCAATATTAGTGCACTTTTGAGCTACTGTATGTTTAGCATCCATTTTAATGTGAGAGAAACTACATATCATACCATAATGATCAATTATTTTTTGTGACAGTTACGAGTATTTGGGTCAATATTAGTGCACTTTTGAGCTACTGTATGTTTAGCATCCATTTTAGTGTGAGAGAAGCTAGTGGACATTAGGTCCTGTTCTGTAGGATACCCTCTTTGGGTAGAGCTATAAAAATTGTTGCCTTGTCTCCATTGTCTTGTGATATTTCCTGCATTTCTTTTCCAGCGAAATGAGTGCTTCTATTTCCTCTTGCCTAATTTCTTCAGGAAGTAGAGCTTTCAACATTGCTGTGAGGGGGACAATCTGAGCATGCTGTCTTTTATAAGATGGAGAATTAATGGTCTTATTTAAATTCAATTTGGCCTTGTACTAGCTATTGAATCTTACTTATAGCAAGTTTGATCTTAGTGTTCAGTAGTTAATAATTTGATATCTACTTGCTTTTGGGTGAAATTCTGCAGACTCCTTATTACCATTGTCCCAGAGACACCCTTTAGCTGTTTATGCTTGTATGCAAAAGATGTATTTTTCAGTCATGTTTAGGATTCTTTTGGATCTAGTCAACCAAGGCATTTCTTGTTCTCAATGAAGATTATTGTTTAAGTTGGTTTATTGGAACAATAGCAGTCAGATCAATGGGTTCCATATTTCTAAATTAGATTTGTTATTATCTTGTTTCTGTCAGTAGTTCTTCATATATGTCATGTATAAGTAAAACACGTTTACTGTGAAGTGATTATTTCTTGGTTAATTTAAGGATGAGTTCATTTATTAATTATATACATGGCTTTTCAGGGAAATATTTAACATGATAAATTGATTTAGTCTCCTCATTCTATTTCCATTCAGGTTCTTCCAGAAGGCAGCTGGTATTGCCACAATTGCATTTGTAAGAGCTGTGGAGATGTTGTTGATGCAACCACATCAAGTTCTTTTGCTGTGCTTGAATGCTCACAATGTGAACATAAATGTAAAATTTTCCCATCCTTAGCTTATTCCATATCTATTATATTTCATCATGCAATGTGATTGCTTGTTATAGGACAAAACCATAAATTAAGTTGGAGTACCCGAGACTTATATCTAGTGTTTTATGCATAATACACCTTCAATTTATAAATTTTAAATATGTTTGATGTCATTACCAGATCATGGTACATGCGTAAAGAAAAGAAATCTGGGCTCTGGGGAAGTAGAATCCGGTACATGGTTTTGTGGGAAAAAGTGCAAAGAGGTATGATTTACTTCTTGTTGAGATATTTTTGGTAACTGATTATTGTGAATTTATTTTGATACATCTGGAGAAAGATCTGTTCATCTTCCTTATAATGGGTCATTCTAATTTTTTTTTTCTAATAACTAGATTGATAAAATTGACCATGTGTGTAGCAAATGAAATCGAAAAGGAAAATATTTATGTATTTGTTTTCTTGAAAATTAATTCTTCCATATGTGAATGAACATTTTTCCCTATCCCATGATAGTATGATACTTGCATGTGTCTTTGTTTTTGGTAACTGATTATTGTGAATTTATTTTGATACATCTGGAGAAAGATCTGTTCATCTTCCCTATAATGGGTCATTCTAAATTTTTTTTCTAATAACTAGATTGATAAAATTGACCATGTGTATAGTAAATGAAATCGAAAAGGAAAATATTTATGTATTTGTTTTCTTGAAAATTAATTCTTCCATATGTGAAAGAACATTTTTCCCTATCCCATGATAGTATGATACTTGCATGTGTCTTTGTTTTCTAAAGTTGGCATTGATGCTTGGCTTGGAAAACCTTTTCCTGAATTCTAGCATATTTCTAAGGGAGTTTCCATACATATCTTTTGTGGAGGTTAATATGTATGAGTCAACTTCTGGTGACATCCAACTACCTACCATATGATGATGTTCACTTTATGTCATTAAGTTTACCAGTTATATATTGATGATAAATAGTGACAGAAGCCAATGTGCACATGCACCTGACAAAAATTAAACATTCATCTTGAAGGAAGCTTGTTAGTTTCCTTCTTTAAGTTCTCCAAAGAAGCAAGACAAGTGTTCCTGGATAGGTCACAGGACGGGATGTATTTTGAAAATGCATGTCAAATAGCAAAAACATGCCTATTCTGTGTCTCTTTTTTTCACTTTTCCTTTCCTTGTGGATTAATATTATTCTACAAGGCAAATAGGTCATACTAACCAGGGTGTTGCTCAAGCAGTATTAAAACTAGCTAAAGTGGTAATGCTCCAAGAGCAACACTTAAAATTTTCAGAAAGCCTGACATCATATTAGCTGTGTTTGGTCATAGTCCTACGCTCTTGCCTTGATCCATGCAAAACATGTACTATTGCTACTAGGCTAAGATGAGTGTTTTTTCAAGTTCTTAGGTGTCATGTGTGCTAATGCTGATCAATGTCCCTGAGCATGTATGTTGAAACCATGAATGATTCTACTTTAGGAGACAGGTGGTAGTGTTGCTTTTGATGAGCTTACAAATAATTCGTAACTGTTAATTTTCTTTAGATACTACTATTTGTTTCTTTTTCCTTGTTCATTCTCTTTTTCACATTTTATTTTTCTGGTGTTAGCAGGTCTACTTAGGTCTGCGTTCTCATGTTGGAATATTGAACTGTCTTGCTGATGGATTTTCCTGGACTATTTTGAGATGCAATCATGATGATCAAAAAATTAACTCAACACAAAAAATTGCACTAATGGCAGAATGCAACACAAAGTTAGCTATTGCCTTGAGTATTATGGAGGAATGCTTTCTTCCTATGGTGGATCCAAGAACACACATAGACATGATTCCACATGTTCTATACAATCGGGGGTGAAGTTTTTGGCTTTTCTTCTTGATTTTCAGTAACCTGTTGAAGTGCCTCATGTTCCATTTTCTGCAATTTTAATGGACATTAATGCAGCAAGTTCATGCTTTACTTCTCTAATATTTGTATTTTTTATCAAGGTTTAAAATCTCAATACTGGACCCATACCAATTGCTGGTTGTATCAATATGGGTCTGGTATGTATCCACGTACCAACAAATGATATGTTGCATACTGATCTGACATGGACCAAACAAAGAGGGAGAGAAGAGGAGGCAAGGCATGATGGTGAGGCAGTGTAGTGGTGACAGTGATTCAGCATAGCAACGAGAAAACTAGAGAGAAGAGCAATGAGAGAGGGGGAGAGATGGATGGGCGGGAAAAAAAGGGAATAAATGTTTTAAAAAGGCTGTCAGCTAGGAAGAAATGATGATATGGCTATTGGGCCATAGGCTTACTGCCTGGTATTCCCAGTAATATTAATTAAAACCTGATGGTTGGTCCAGAGCAGACTTGACAAAATCACCCAGTTTGCGTCCCTTTTTTGGTTGGACTAGTAAAGTGAATATGTAATATAAGATATAAATGTCCATAGTCATGCCTTTTTCAAGGGACTTGTAGTGGGGTTATAATATTCTAGTGGTCCTTTTGCTATCAAGGTAATCTGAGATGCTGAAACACTCGGACTGAGTTCATTTCTAGTGGAGTTGCTCTGATGTAATTTAATATATGCTGCTGACTGACTACTCGTACTAGTTCCTGCTGAATAACAACAGAACTCTAGACTCCTGCAGGTGCATGTTCATGACACCTATATAATTCACTAGAACCAAGCTTATGAATTGTGTTTTTTTCCCTGCAACAATTGTTATAGGCTTCTTTCAGCTCCTTGAAGATGATCAATGCTTTCTTCTTTTTTTTTTATTTGGCTGCCACCATTGATTGTTTAATTCCCCGAGTATTACATGAAAAGCTGACTTAGTTACATTCAGTAGATCTTTTAATTAATTTTCATCTCTTGAATCTTGTGACCTCAGATCTTTCACTTGCAGGTCTAATTTCACCCGCTTAAACTACCAAGGATTTTACACCGTGGTCTTGGAGAAGAGTGATGAAGTGATATCTGTAGCATCGATCAGGTAGTCATGCTTGACAGAACATAATTTCTTCAATATCTATTTTTTTTAGTAGTTGTTTTATTTTGAATTCAACTGAGATATCTAGGATAACTTCATTCATTACATGCATATGAACGTGCAATTATGCATGATAGACAGGTGACACCTACATTTCATGTTCATAATTAAGTTTTTAATTACTTGGCATATACCTCTTTATGTGCTTGGAGATTGGAGTATGTATGTAGTCTTGTTTTGAAGAAGTTAGAATCGTTAGATATGGAGAATAAACAGTTGGATTCTGATTTGATTTAAAAATGAATGGTCAACCAATTTTACCAGTGAACATGTCTCAGATAGGTGAGCTGTGGAGAGGCTGTATTTTCTAGTTCTACACCACTAGTGATACTTGCAGTGTTATTGTCTTAGGTAATGACTCAGTTCTTTCTTTCTTTTGCTGCTTAATATATCTGGAAAAATAGAAAATACAGTGGGATCCTTAATTCAGAGGTATATATAGGTCAAAGAAGTGTGTGGTAAGCAATTACAAATGATGTAAATTTTAATGTTTATTGGATCATTTATGGTGTGACAGACTTGCTGTTGTCAAGATGATTATCTTAATCATGTCTATGCATGGGCCCTTGATGAGGTGGATGTTAAGAAACAACGGGAGGTATGTATTGGTCCACCAGCAAACCAGTACACGACCCTGAATGCCTTGCGCTGATTGAACTAGATGGATGCTTATTAGAGCTTTAATGAGCATCGTCTCGTGGAATCTGAAGTTTTGAGGCCTTGTCCTTAATAATGCATTTGTTAGACCATGATGCTTTACTGATGCAACCCCCACTATACCCCACAAGGCCTAACAAAACCCTTGCACAATTTAATTTCTCACGGATGTATCCAATTCCACCATGCCGAAAAGAAAGTTTCTACACTCCAAGGCGTCAAATTTCAATTGCCTTGGGATGGCCACAGATAGACCGTCGTCCATATACAATCCATTGCATGAGGTACTGAATTTTTCGAGTTGACAATTTCCCTTGCCTCTGTGAGCCTTGCATAAACTCTTTCGATCGTCGAGTAATCCATCCTTACTTGCATGTCTCATCTTTTGCCAAGCACTCCTGCTTGCATTGAGCACCATCAGGCTAGGTTGTCAACATTAAGTTGCAGCTTGAACTTAGCCATCTCAATATTTATGTGTTGTATGTTCTTCCTAGCTGGTTCGTCCTCATGATGCCTCTCGTGTGAAGTATTGGCAATTCCTTTGAATATCAATCTTCAATGCTTGAACCTCTGAGCAACTCCTTTGTTACGTCTCTACACCCATTTCCCTCAAACACTCATGTGTGTTGGTTATCCTCTTCACAGCGTTGTTAGGTCTGTATGTTTGTATGCCAAGCATTTTTCGTGTGCTTGTCCTACTCCGATATCATCATTCGCAAACTTTGCTGGTTTTTTCTAAGTCGTGCGACTCTCTTGCGTGTATGTTCATAAAGGGTTAACCTTCTCTTAACCTTGCAGAGTTCCTTAAAGACTTGTAAAAAGATAAAATGGGTTAGTGGAAGTTTTTTACTTGGGATTCCGCAAGCAAATAATTTGTAAAAACTTGGATTGACTTCGCAAGCTCTGAACGGCCATGCAACAAAGAGTCCAAAGCAGTCCACCATGCACAAACGTCTCTATGAACAAGTGCCCATGCGACATTATTGTGAAACCGTGCAATGGACCAACCTAAGATACTACTTGGCGGTCCATCTAGCTCTGTGCCAATCATGCAATTCTAGGAAGTGGCTGATGTTTTCACAAAAAACACTGCAAATTGTATGCTAGAGGCTATGTTTTTGGATAGTTTTACATCTGCATGATAATCGCACACAAGCTACATTTACAAGCCAAAAACGGCTCAAAACCCAACCAAAATGAGATTGTTAAGCCTATTGCAACTTCCTTGTATGCTGCCTAAGTCATGAACAAACCAAACATCATGGACATTATATCGAACACCTTCCCTATGGACTGTTTGTGACAGTTTAGTCCACTTTTGAAATAGGCCCAGGAAGCCATGTGAACCAAATGGTAAGTTCGGTTCTCTCTTTTCAATTTAACAACTTTATTTTTTTCTAAGACCCAAATAACCATATTCACTCACCACATTGCACATGCCTCTCTCTCTCTCTCTCTCTCTCTCTCTCTCTCTCTCTCTCTCCCCTCCTCCCCATGTAGCCCGCCCGTGTCCATGCCCTATTGTGATACCAATCATCAAGATTCTATGAATATCTTTTCCTATAACAACCGTGGTTAGATGAGATAATCAATTAAAATTAGGTACACAAAGACCTAACGTGACTATACAAGAAACAATTAGAAGAGATTTGATTGTTCTTGGTTTTATTAGAGGTATTGTCTGGTATAGAGCTCAACGATAGGAAGAGATCTATGTAGCCTACCCAAGTAACAGAAACATTACAGCTTGTTGCCGTTGTTGAGCTGGGCGATGAAACTATATGCTGAGGAAAATAAGTTGAGGCTTAAGTGAACATTAGGCATGGGTTAGATGTCCACAAGGGCTTATTCACTATGGTCCGTTTGGTGTTTTCACTCCCCACTCTCTACCAGAACCCAATTTTTCTACCACATCTCTCCATTTCCTTGCTGACCCATCATGCAAAAGGTTCACTCTTAGATTGAACGTGAGGGCTCCACCAACCAAACCAGCATTCTTCGGAAGAGTGTGGGAAGGCAGGCTGGTAGAGGTTTCATTTCAGTCCGGTAAACCACTTGAACTTTTCTTAGAGCTTGACATGTGAATTAAACCAAACCATTTGATTTCAGGTCTGCTAAACTGAAACCAGGCCAGCTATTGTTTAACACCAAAACTGGACAGAATCAAATTTCTTGGTTTGGTTTGATTTAATCAGTCGGTTGTGTAACACTGCATGATCTGGTCAGAGTGGTGCAACACCCTAAGTTAGTCCCCACATCAGAAGTGGGAGAACAAAACATCTTAATTGATTTATTGATCGTGACAGGGTGGCATTGAACAACCACTGAACAATTTCCTTTGGCAAAACTAACACAGCATAAGATTTGGGGTGATTTCTCGGGAAAAACCTCAGTGGTGAGTTTTTCATGGATAACACCACTAGTTTCTATGTTTTCCAAAGAGAGCTCCTTCTCTTTATAAAAAGACCAAAATACCCTTGAAAATGATTTCTAACCAAACTCCAAACTCCAATTTGTCTAGAGTTACAGTATCTTTTATTAACAGAGTTTTTTGTTTTTATTACTGAACCAAAAATAATGTAATTCCATTAAAAATCACTCTAACTGAATAATATCTCTTTTTTTTTTGTTATCATTCTTTCATAATAAATTATTATTAAAAACTATAATGTTTTTATAAACCTAAAATTCAAGACAAAGTGGAAAAAATAAGAACTTTTATCATTTGAAATATATCGAGACCTTCACAATTTTCATTCAAAATCATTCAAATTTTCATATTAATAATTTTATAGTACCTCTAAACCTATAGTAAAGTTGATATTTATTGTTATAAGAAAATATAATTAATTGAAACTAAGTTACAGTGTTTTTTATTATTGTAATAATGTTTTAGTTAACTGACAAAAACCCTTTGAATGCTTTTTATATTATCATTCTTTTTATAAATAAAATAAATATTATAAGATCTTTTAAAAATTATATGCTTAAATTTAAAATTATGTAAAAAAATAAGGACTTGCCATTTTTATTTTAAGGCTTGTCTCTCAAATAAAATATTATGTGAAACTTAATACTTATAATAAGGTTAATAATTGATGTTTATGAGAATTTAAATTAATTAATATTGATTTATATTTTTTGGAATGGGGTTACAATGTTTTTATTTCAGGAATGAGAAAACATGATAACTGGTTTGGTTGAACCAAAAATACTGCAACTTATCCGAAAACACTGTAACTGGTTCAATTTAATACCAAACTGGTTTAAATGGTTTAGTCGAGCTGAATTTTGGTGGAAAACTTGAAAACTAAACCTGCTAGTTGTCAATGAGGGATTTTTATCATTTTAGAAAATAGGGCTCTCTTTGGGTATTTTGGAATGAGGGGCGTTATCTGGGAAAAACCCAGAACTTGGGGTTTTTCCCGGGAAATCATCCAAAGATACTTTTGTATTCCTAGTGTCAGACCAATTGATCCTTAAATATTCTTGTTTTATCCTACCAAAATTTGTAAACTATGAAGCAACTTAAGCAAGTGTGTGTTGATCTTTTGCTTAATTAGTTTGACTTCCACAGGTGATATATTGTGCTAACCCCATGTCTAGGAATAGTAAATGATATGTTATTGATACCTACTGTTGTGTTTTTTGGAGGCAACATCTATTAGAAAATTGGAGGAGAGATATCTAATTATGTGTGGAGATCATTTTCAACATTCACCACTTTCTTTCACCCTATGCTAAAGGCAGTTATGCTTCTTTCAAGACATTTCCTCCTTGCAGAGTGTAGCTAATAGTTTTGCTTCTTTAAAGACATTTTCTTGTAGATTGTGATTATTAGCTACATTTAGTATGGTCATCTTTGAGAAGAATGCAAAAAGTTTCTGCAGGAATATAACTACTAATGTGCTTGATGGTTCTTTTTTGTCTTACTAGAATACATGGAGTTACAGTAGCTGAGATGCCTCTGATCGCAACTTGCAGCGAGTATCGTCGACAAGGAATGTGCAGACGGCTCATTGATGCAATTGAAAAGGTACTCATGGTCCCACATAGAAGTGCTTTAGTCGAACCTTAATTTTCTGAAAAGATGTTTCTAAGTTGTCTTCATGCTATATATTTCCTTTTTTTACTTTCTGATTATAATGAGGCCATTCAAATAAACTGAAAAAAAATTCCTTCGTTGTCTAGTGACAAATATTTGAAGGAATAATGTACAACTTCATTTTGACAAAGAACTCATTCAAGTTTGAACTCAGTGTATCTTTTACAATGCCACTGATAACTTTCTAATTGGTATTATTTCAGTTGGATGACAAGAGAATGAAGAATATACTATCTTGAGCATTACATTCTTTCGCTTTTGGTCATTCCCTAAATTTAATTTCAATATGATGTCTTAAAAAATGTTATTTTAGAAGAAACATTGTGGCCTTGTACTATGACATGCACTTACTCAGTGCGTGATTTGAATATTCTTATCTGCTCTAAACTAAAAGCAACCTACTGTATGGCTTTTTGGACGTAGATGCTGAAATCTTTTGGAGTTAAGATGCTGGTTATATCAGCTATACCGATCCTTGTTGAGACATGGACATCACATTTTGGCTTTAAGCCTATCGAGGATGTCGAAAGGAGGCAATTAAATCATGTCAACTTGATGTTGTTTCCTGGAACAGCATTGTTGATCAAGCAATTGGAAGAACCGACAACTGAAGAATCAGGTGAAAACATGTATACATGCAGTTTATTGTTAGGTTTCTTCATGCCCTTGTGCTAATAATTTATCTTCAGCTAGAGTAGGGTTTGTCCACATCCTTAATTTTTCTTGGAGTCTGACACACAGATCCCCTGACATTGCAGGATCAAAAAGCGATGTGTGCTTAAAAGGCTATCAATCTGTAAATCCTGATGGTTCTAATGAAGTTACCAATATTACAACTGAAGTGCAGGCTGACAGGACTGCTAGAACTGATTCAGATGATGAAGCTTTGCTCCCAACAGCAGATGTAACTTATCAAATGGAACAAGAACATGACTGGCAACAGAAGGATTTATTAGTATCATCCTATGACACCCTTAATTCAATAGCCAAGCCTAATGATAATGATGCTAATATTTCTGAACCCTTCCGTAGAAAAATAGCGAACTTAGATATTGATAAGAAGAGCCAGTTTGATTCAGCTGAACATACTGAACAAGAGATATTTACTTCTCTGTCAGTTGTGAGCAAATCGACTGCTTTACATTCTTGTTCTGGCTCTCGTATTATTTGTGCTACAGATGATCGATATTTTGCAGAATCTGTCCCTATCAACGATGGTGAATCTGAGAAGGTTGATATGATTTCTGAAGCTGAAGCTAAAAACATATTGGAAGAAGATAACAGATTGTTTTCTGAAGGCGATGGAATTGAACAGGATATTACTAATCATTCTTCGGAAGCAAAATGCAGCTCATTTGATGGGTAGGTTGCAATGGACATGATTGGCGATTCTCAACCTAAATGAGAATAGGTTGGAAGAGCTTACTGGTCACAAGTTTTTCGTAGATGACTCTGGCACATCCACGGATGAAACCTGATTGTTCTGTGTGATTGCATCCCGTTGAAAAAGTATGCTCCAACCGACATGGAAACTTATATCTCTCACATTATTCTCTGTGGAAATATGTTATAATACTTTCAAGAGCCTGCTCGAGTTTTTCAGTTCAAGTGGGGATTGATTTGTCAGAGCATGGAACGTTGTCAGTCTATCATTAATGAGAGTTGTCTTGTGCTACTGCTATGAATGCCCAAAGTGGAAAGAGCCTGTGAAGCTCATAGTCTTACTCAGCTGACTACCATTGCTCGGAAAATAGCTCATACTTCGAATCATTTGGAGAAGCAATCTGGAGGCAGACATTTTGCTAAATTTGCTGTGTTTGTCGTCATGAGGACTTATAATGCATTTGACCAGTATGAATATGGAACAAGGTTTGCCATTCACTACCAGCAACTTAAGATGGTTTCTTTGAATTTTTATGGGGTTTATATTGCCTGAAGCTACGGGCCTTGCTCTCTTTAATGTCTACTCAACTGGATAAGGCAACTCTTTTGGGTTATGCCAGAGGACACCAAGCACAACCAGCAATGGAATAAGGATCCGAGGCTGACCAAACGTTATTGAGTTTCTTGATGTCTTTGCAGTTAAGCAATGAAGAACTTATATTGGCCGAAAGAGAAACCACGTTACTGTGCAGTTTTCTTCTTTGTTCATTTTCTTTTTCTGTCTCATACGATCTGTTGTGTAGCTGTAATCTGTACTCAAAATGGCCTTTACAGAGTTGGATGAATGGCCTGAATTATACATCTGTTGTAGGCTGCAATCTTTGTAGTGGTTGCTCATGCTAATTAACCATCTGCCCTGACCATGTAGCGTGCTGCGTATCCGATCGACGAACATAAATGCTGATACAGCAAAAGATTTATATGCTTCTTTCACTTGATAATGTTGATTTAATGTGTGCATTCATACAGATATACATGATCTGATTGGTTGATTGATTGGATTTATGTTTTGATTTTAGTTGAGATGGGGTTGTAGGATTGTCAGCAGGAATATTTCAGCTTTATGAATAGTGTGTATTGAACATTTCTTGTTGCCTTTTCAGTTGGCGTGTAAGGTTAGGTATAATGAATATAAAAGTTGTGATATAAATTGGGCTTCAATGTCTGTTTTTTGGTTTTGTTTGATATAATGATTTTAGAGAGTGAATATGTAGAATTCTCATAAGTTTTATTTTATTTCAATGTGATCTCAAATGACCAGACATTTTGAGGGTTAATTATATTATTTTTTATAATTAATTATCTCTTAGCATCACGAGTTTTATAATTTTAAAAATTATATTATGGTTCTTATATTTATAAAAGTAAAATATTTAGTTTCGTTTCTTCTCATGGACTTTATCGATGAAAATATCATACGAGTTTAATGATAAATTAAAATAAGACAGTGAGTATTTTTGTTAGTAAAGTTGACGTGAGAAGAAATAAGGTTAAATATTTTATTTTTATAAACATAAGATCTAAATATAATTTTTGAAAGTACAAGAATTAGGATGTTATGTTTTACTTTCTTAAGTATAGGATCCAAATATAATTTTTAAAAATATAAGAATTGAGATATTTATAAGGGTTAATATGTAATTAGCTCGAATAGGCATAAATGCTTGAAAAATTTTTACCCATTATGTTCTTATATATTGTTTATTGTGATAATAAATGCTCACCATTATTTTTCGAATTATTCGTAACTAGAATTACGAAAAAAGGTAGAATAATTAAAAAATACTCTGAATATATTGATATTTAATATAGAATTGTAATTAAATTATGAATATATAATGATAATGACTATATATGTGTTAATAGACAAATATTTTATTTAATTTTTATTACTTAATAATATTTAAATAAAATTTAAAAAGATTTTAATTTAAGCACACACAAGTTAATTATAAAATTATTTATTTATCGAGGAAAAAACTTTCATCAATTGTTTATGAAACTATGAAATTACTTTATATATCCAACAAAATTATTCATAAGATATAAAATACATTTGAATAATCCAACAAAAATCTCTTATTTATTCTCAACTGTTCGTACAACTTATGGTGATATGGATAATTGTTCATGAGATCGTTCAAAACATATGGATTCTTGGCAAGATTGTTTGTAAGATATGCTGATTTTGCATTGAAGTCCTCTTAAGGATATTATAATGATTCTTGACCATGCTTCCTCACCATGCTGCTTAAGAAGAATGCCCCCAATCTCGTACATGTATGGCATGCTCTCCAAGGCTCAAATGCTCATCACAGGAACAAGAAGTTAGAACTGTCCTTGTGTGTTCATTCTGCAATGGCTCTACCATTCTATTTTCTGTATTTGCAGGGAGAAGAAGACCCGTTCATCTTTGCAAGTTACAACATTAGAGCACAAAAAAAAGAAATCATGATCTTGTGGATGTGGCTCAGGTAACACTGTTGCTTAATGGCTTCCTTCACATTCTACTCTGAAGAAGCTCACCAACCAAAAACAAACTGTGCCATCTGTTCAAGTGTCCCAAACTCCCCCAGAATAATCTAATGATCCAACCCATCACCTCAACACTGTATTGGTGTGACTACCACCACCAACTACTGCTCCAGCACGCCTCAGATCATGACTAGTGAGTAGGAGCATTGGGTTCTAAGTGGACTACCAAACAAAAGAACAGCACATAATCAATCATGGACTCGGTGATCTTGATCTGATCTCATGTGTGCTGTGTCCTTGTCTTGAGCTGCTTTTAGGAAAAAGCTCAAAGAGAGGAAAAAAACTGCATTAGATTCGTCAAAACAAAAAAAAAGAGTGACGGGGATGATGAGAACAATATTTATTGATGAATACAATACGAGAGCAATTAGTTTTCTTGGGAACATGGTATGATACATTCCATGCTTGCTCGTCTTTGGACCGTCCTGGGGTGGTGGTGGTTAGGCTGACCGCCGGCTCAAGGGCCTATAGGAGGCGGACCGAGGGACGTAGACGGATGAGTCCGCGACGGCGCACGTCGCCTTGCACGAGGCGTAGAGGCCGAGGAGCCCGAGCCGGTCGGAGATGGACCACGCCGACGCTGCCGACCCCCTCCGGTGACGACCGGCGGCCGACCCGCTCGCCGCTAATAGCTCCCCGATGGTGGAGCCCCGCGGGGCCTTGGCGCACACGGCGAGCGCGGCGGCGAAGGGGTCGGGGGCGGGGCGTGGGCCCGCGATGGGTCGCTTCTTGCGGGGGCCGGCGGTGGCGGATCTGAGAGGGGGAGGGAGGGGGAGGAGGGGGTCCGGCGAGCGGGCGTCGATGGCGATCTGGGCCTTGGGGATGCCCGGCAGCCGCTCCCAGGAGAAGGGGACGGCGGAGGGGGAGGTGTGGCGTGCTGATGCTCCGGTGGGCGCACCGACGGGCTTGCTCCGTCGGTATAGCGGCCGCCCGTAGATCTCCGATCCGGCGATCATGTCTTCATCGGTGGATGGCGGTGGCCACATCTCGTCTAACCATAAGAGAGGAAGAGTAGAGCAGAAAGAGCGAGTACGCCTGGACGACGATATATGTAGTAGATCACGAAGCGGTTCGTTCCGGTGTGCCCTCACGAGTATCGGCCTTTAACATGAACCCACCCCTTCGAGCTTTCGGTTGCGGAGAGCCTGCACGAATCATGAAGCAAACCCTTCCCGATCAGACGGTGTAGCAGCCGACCGTCGCTCGAAAGCTGCGTCAATCATCGAGTGGGTATGCAGAAATTTGGTACGGAACGATTTATTACACGACGCATTGCTTCGTGGTCAAGTTCTATCGATCGGAGCAAGGAGGGCGAGTCGTGTCTTAGATGGGGCAGCGAATAGTGTGTCGCTGTGAGAGTGCGGTGGATGGCGGACGAAGCCAGGAACCACGTGGGACCACAAACTATTCGTTGTGGGAGCCACCCGTGCTCAAAGTGGTGGAGCCAACGAGCCTCCTCCTACCTGTGGAGTAGCACATGAATCCGATGGTTCAGCTTTTCGAGACTCCATAAGTCAAAATATGCTTTAAAATCGGTCCACAATGAACCGAAACCATACACTTTATAGAAAGAAAGATATATCTCAAAAGGAAGAAACTTTTCTGATGGGGTCCCCACACAAAGACACTCTTTGTCAGCCAACCCTAGGATGACGTGTGGCAAAAATAATTTAACCTCACCTCTTATACCGACGCAAAGGGTATTGGAATCGAAGACATAGACTTGCATGCATCAACGAAATAGATGATCGTAATGCATCCATTTCACGGATAACCGAGATCAGTAATGATTGTCATTGCATCAAAGAACGATGTGATGATTGTAATAACTAAGTACGTAGGAGTGTGAAAAGTCACCCGTTTGTACGTCCAAATTAAACTAGACATGGTTGTTGAACTGCTTTGAGATATTGAAGGCCGCCAGGACATGTCGTCGACTTTGTTTAATCCTGGATTAGGGATGCTGGTCAACTGCGTCAGGTTGGATATCCTGTGCTTGTCGATTCTCCATTTTCCAGTTGTTAATGTGTCGAATCGATTGAGAAAGTGGGGAATCCATCCAGCAATTCCCTTTTTTTTTAAAAAAAATATTTTTAATATGATTCTAAAAAATAAAAAAAGATTATCGGTATCTTATCCGAATTTAGCTTATTTTATTTAAATCAGGGAACATTTACTAGAAAAAAAATATTATAGATATAAAGATTATGCATGGGAATATATTTATATTTTTAATATACACTTGAATAAAGTGGTCTGAGTGAATATGTAGTTGTAGAATACTTTAAATATTTTATAAATAAAATATAAAAAATATATTTTAAATATGGATTGGTGTAAGTATTGTTTGATAAAATTATATTGAATATTATATTATACAAATTTATCCTTCTAATATTTTAATATTTATTCAAAAATAAATATATTCTTCTTTTATTTAAATTAATAAATAAAATAAATAAATGAAAGTATGTAATCTTATAAAAATTATGTATGACCTAGATATATAGTAAATAAAATATATAATCATATAAATAAATATAAAATAATATTTAGAATATATATAAATAAAATTTTAGACTTGCAAGAAAAGGGGCAATGGCAAAAATTGAAAGAATGGATGAAGAATGAGGGTTACAATTTTTATGATAATATTGTAATTTTAGATAATATAATATGATACTTTAAAAATATTAAAAAATTATATTAACATGTCACAATTGCCGAAATGCTATTGCTGACTTATAGCATTTGAATATTTTTAATATAATATTTAGATAAGATATAAATTTTTAAAAAATATTTTATATATATATATATATATATTTATTTATTTATTTTGGCCTTCAATACATATTGTAATTTGTGGTCCCAAACGCACCGTCATTGTCTTGGCATGTTGCTTGAGCAATGTTTGATCTAACAAAACGTGCTGCTTGCTTTGTCGTCGGATATCTTGCTGACACCTCTCTCTCTCTCTCTATGAATGGCTCGGCTGGCTGGTGGGCCGCCGGTTGCACCCCTGCACCCAAGATGGTAAACAAAAAGGAACGTTTAGTGGGCTAATAAGATGATGTTATCATCTTTCAAATAGGAATTGGTAGGATAAATGATTGCGGCATGGAATCACAAATATTCACGCAAAACACAGTAAAAGCCGAGTCTTCACTATCCTTTTGCACAGATTCAGTTTGAAAGAAAACAAAGAAAAAGAGATAATATTCTCAAGAAATAATGGTGCAACCCACGACTGGTTTTGCAAAGAAACTTCCAAATGGCAGTTCGTTGGGTTCATCGGAATTGTGCAGATATTTGGCTGTAAAAATGAATCAAATTTAAGAAATTCCTTGAAAGATGTACAGTATATTACACCAAGAATCTATTATTACCATTCTTCTGAGATTATACATGAACCAAGTAACATTTATAACTCAGCTATTAACAACTAAATGAAAATTTATGCATAACATACATAGCTGAACTTATCCGCATCCAGACTACATGAAATGGAAGCCACCATCAGCAATCCTAAGCTGCTGCCTAGTACAAAACTTGTGGTTCTCCATCTTCAACCATCGATCATGAAGTTGAGTCCGACATACACCTGCATCGCATGATTAGGCGAAAACTCAGGATCCATCATGCGGCGCGTGAGCCGATAGACTAACGTGACATAATCCTCGGACTGTCGAAGGACTGCAACAAACTCCCCGGACGACATATCATTGTCCTCGAGCTTTCCCATCTCACCATTCCCTTGGATGTGCCAAAACATCTTGGGAGAGAGCTGTGCATATAAATCTGCAAGGTAGCATAAAAACATTAAATATGATCATGATATAAGAGAAACATATTATACATCGTACAGTTACATTTAGTAAAATCAACATATAATTAAATGAACTTACATAACAAGAAGACCCAATGTGCACAATGTTTATATTTATGCAGGGCAAATGATCACAACAGAGGGAAATAAAACAATCGTTGTGTTGCAGATACTACAATCCTAGCTGTGAAGGAGATAGTTGTTACAATATACAGAAAATGTGAATATTAGACGACGAGAACAGTGTCCACAAATCAAAGCATGTGAAAATCTGTTAGAAGTGATAAGCAATAAGAGATGAACAAGCTAGATGCACTACCTCCACTGTTGCGATGCTCAACTCCAATACAAAAACAAACACATAATCAACTTGAATTTTTCTATATAATATTTCATATAAGAAACCTCACATGTTTTCCAGTGGAATATATTGGTCAGTACACACTCAAACAAATACCAAAACATATTTCACATTGGTATTTGGTCAGTTTAAGGTGGTATCAGTACATCGCTTCCTAATCAAGCATACCGAGCAGTATGGTTGGTATATACCATGAATTTTCAGACCATGTGCTCATCCATCAATTGTCATCTCAAGATTACTTCAATATACCTGAAGTAGGTGGATCTGCCTCACTGGTAGAATGCAACAATGTAGTCCCAGATATTACTGTAATAAGCCCACAAATCTCTGATGCAATATCACTTGCACTCTGCCCAGACCAATCCTCCATGCATGCAAAGAAGTAAGCACTAGACAAAGAAAATGTAGAAATATTATGACCATAATAAAGATTCGGTACCTTGAACATGATGGCACCTGTGAATATAGTAAGAATTCTGAACATGGCATAGTAGACAGGAGAAACAACTGCAGTACTGAAAGTATCTAATGCTAGGAAACGAGAAAGAACAACAAAAAAGACAAATAAGTAACATTGTTAATCCTAAACCAATTTTTGAAGAGTCAAATCAGCTAAGAAAGAAATCTTTAACTAGATAGGTGTACCACTTAGTAAGATGTAACGTATCATACCGAACAAAGCTCGATACACTGATACGATATGAAATTTCGAATCTCTGATGTGCAATCAACAAATAATCCATTTCCAAAAATTAAACTAACCATGAAAACCATAACAAACAGGAAGTCATTTGGCTATCTTTGACAGTAATATTCTGTAATTTCAAAAGTAGAACTAATTGACTTTTGACTTGCCCCGAGTTTCATCCAACCAGGAGCTGAAATAACTGGTCAATGCAGGTTCCAGAATGTTCCAACCTGGCCTTTCTTTAGTGCCTGTTTCTCAAAATATTACATACAGCATCATCAATTGTCCAATTTATCCTCCATCTAAAACTTATGGCCATCTTATTTATAGAGAAAGTCCTTCCTGTATTAGAAAGCACTCTCTAGTTCAAGGAAAATAAGCAGCCTTCTAAAAATTAATCTAACAAGAAAGCTAAATATTATCAATGCTGAAAAATTAAAGTAAAGAAATCTGGGAAACAGAAGAAGAGTAAAATGGAGACTTGCATAAAGAAAAGTCAGCATGGTGGTCTTATCTTATATCTTAGAGTTGAAACTTCATATGTATAGGCAATCACTAAGGGGAATCATGGATTAAAAGAAAAAAAATGGTGCATTCTTTGAACTCTGATACAAGCATTGCTTCAGGCTCTAACCTTGTTCAAGTAATTTAACTGAACTATGATGCAGGAGATGGCAACCATTGCAAATACCCATGTCTGGAAGTAACCAGCATGGTTGATTCCCTCCAATATGAGCTTAATTGCAATTCCTATGGCCTTAATACTCATCACCTGCATAACTTACAACTATAAGAGACAACAAGAGCAAAGATCAAGAAAAACAACATCAGTACCAGCACAACACCATTACCGTTAAAGATCCAATTGTTGAGCATATGCCCAAGTACACTCAAGGTTTGCAATTATGGTTGGTGCAGTGTGTACCTAGACATACGAATGGTATGCTACGGTGTACCGATGATATGCTAAAACAACATAAAAATTAACTCCAAAAATATCTGAAAAATAAAAAAAAATTATATTAAGATTTTTAAGTTGAAAATAAATATAAATTGTATAATTTTTATGAAAATAATCTAAATTCGGAAAGAATAGTGATACATCTTTTTTGGGCTTTGAGAAATAATTTTGTGATACGTTTTGAACCATCCTTCCGTTAATATTGAATTATCTACAAAGAAATGATTTGAGTGAAAATAAGTTTAAGAGAATTGAAGAGATTGAGAGAGTGATATGAATTGAAAGAAAGGGGAGAAAAGGGTTTAAAAACTTTTTTCTATGATTCAAATAATCAATTTGACCATTTGAAATAGGACAATCTCAACCCTTGATCGTTTATGATCGAAATCGGACCGTTACTGATCGTTTACAATCGAAACCCCGTATTGCCTGATGCAGGGGCAGGTTATAGTATCGTCTAGTAGAGGGTGGTCCACGTACCAATCCTCAATCGGACCAGAACAATGCAAGCTTTTAAATCTGTGACCAATGCAAGCTTTTAAATTTCGCACATCCCACCACACAATGAGACACAAAGCACCCAACGGAGTTACCAGAACAGCTGGGGCAAATATGTAGGCCATAAAGTTGGCAATTTCACCAAAGATCACTGCAAAATTTCAACTTTCCTTCACGCTTAAAACCACACAAGAAAGTGGAGACAGGATCGACAGACAAGGGGCTTACTTGTGACCATTCCGATCCTCCAGAGAGGCTTCAACAGATATCCGTACCCACCTACGCCTTAGGTATAAAAAAAAGGAAGCTCTTTCCTTTCAGTACAACAGCGACTCGGAGCTAGGATATCGACGAGAAGGGGAATGGGGTTACTTACCGGCGCGAGAGCCGGACGCACCGGCGCGCCTGAGGCCCTGCTTCTTGACGATGAAGCCGGCGCCGATGAAGGCGACGGCGAGGAGGAAGCCATTGAGGTTGTCGGCGAAGAGGTGGAGGGAGCCCGCAGCGGGCGGTGGCCCGCCGTTGGTCGAATCCTGATCCATCGTTCGGGCGACATCAGGCAGCTCATCTACTAGCCCGCGGGCGTCACTCGGACTTCGAAGTCCTCGATGTGAAGGCACAAAAAAGAAATGGATGGAGAGATGCGAAGCGCAAAAGGTTAGGCAATCGAACGGGAGAGCGAGGGAGAACAGCGAAGGCGGCGGAATATGCTCCGTCCCACCTAAGCATAGCCATTAAAGAGTAGAAAGTGAAGGGTTCTCATGGAACGTTGAATCAGCCAGGCCTTGAGGACCAAAATAGTCAATTCAACAAGCCATAGCCTTGTAATTGGGATGTGTTCCATCCGACCCAAGAAGAACCATGAAAGCATTAGAAAAAAAATTGAGCTGCCTTTGACCTCAATGGGTAGATCGCTGCAAGAAGAGTCGGATACATGAGATTTTAGAAGACAACAAGGCAGGGCATACAAAATTGAGCCACCCACATGGATTAGACTCATGAGAACATCGAGCACGTTGAATTGAGCTACTTATGCATGAATTTTTAAATTTATGAGATGCATAACAGTATTGGGGTATATCTACAACAAGTCAAAGGCATGAGACTCATGGGAGCATAGGGACATGCCTACTTGAATTGAATTGTCTTGGAAGAGTCAAACTTTTGAGATACGTGAGTATCGAATAGTGTCAACTTAGACAATCCACGTATGGGGTTCTTAACGTATGAGACGTACGAATATATTACTGTGTGATGACTTAAATCATGCACGTGGAGTTGTCAAATGCATGAATACACGAGAATGTTATGGTTTGTTAACATGAAGTGCCCATGAAGGAAGAGTCAAATGCATGAGATAATGTGAAAACATCATAGGATACCAATTTGAACCGTCCACATAGGGCGTGCTAGACGTATCAGACACATTAGAGTTTATGATGACTTGAACTAATTATATATAGTGTGTTGGATATATAGGAGATTCATGGGGATATTAGGGCATGCTTACTTAAATTGCCTATATAACATGTGTCGAACTCAAAATATATGCACGGGTATTGGGTCATGTCAACTTGAATCATCCAACCACGTAGGTGATATTAGATGTATAAGACCCGTGAGTATTATCATGGCGAGCTGACTTGAACCACCCATGTAGCAGTTGTTAGGTGCATGATATGTGTATATGCATTCAAGCATGCTAGATTATGTTGGGAAATTGAGGGTCGACATCTCATGCGTAGCGAAAAATAAAAATAAAATCAGATTTTTTTAAGTCAAGTACTTGATCGTTGTGCGATAATTGGTGCACGAGAAAATTATAAAATAAAAAAACTATATGTATTATGTTAGAAGTGTTCGATCGTATATTCCCGAAATTTTCAGATCCGATGGAGAGGATGAAGGAGAACTCACGTACTCCTCTCTAGCAGTGATCCACACAGTAGACGCAGCGACAACGCTCCTCAAATCACTACGGGATCTCCCTCTCCATATGCACCACAAGGCTACTTGAGCCAAGGAGGAGGAGAGGAGGTTGAGGAGAATAAGAGGGGTGGCTACTAGAAGTTCTAGTCCCTTATTCATCTAATATCCTAGAGACCGTATATTGAGTATGGTAATGTCAGGCCCATACGAAATCCTATTTGAGCCTTGCTCTAATCGAATTCTCCTAGTGAACTCATTTTCTCTCAATCTAAACGACCTTAGCTAAGGATTTTGTTTGAGCGAGCAGAAACAGGATATTCCTCTCGTGATACTGAGAGTCGATGATCCTCTGTTGATACTCAATTGCCTTCGTAAGGTTGGCTGTCATTCCCGAGAATCAATTGTACCATATTTGAAACTTTGAAACCAATAAGTTTGACATCAAAGAATGGAGTACTTATACAAGACATCTTTGGTGTCTCAAGTCTAAGGACCAGACATACAACTAAGACTACAAAATTGCTGTCTGATGTTAGGCATCATTAACTATCTAGCATTTCGTAAACGGATCAATAAGTGAATTCATTCTCCAATGAGCACCTGCACTATACCTTTAGTGTCCCCACATAAGCGATTATGAGACCAACCGCCTTCATCATATGGATGAGTATAAAGCGCACCGATTTATCCGATTATATCGATGTCCTTCTCGAGTAACCTATGACCGGGATGATTTAGGATTTGTGTTTAAAGACGAATTAGTCTCATTATCGTGATCTCATCACGATCCCATCTAGAAGTCTACCGAAGACTTCCGTTTCACGTGTTGAGGGTGTCGCGTGACTCGCTAGAAAAATAGTGAAAGCACATCAAGATAGAAGTCTATATCTTGATTGTTTATTTTTCTACAAAAACTATATATTATTTATTTATGCTACATCTCCTATTTGTTAGAAAAATATCGCTTTCAAATCTCTTATATGACATACTTGATGTCAATCGTCTTTCTGGTCCAAATTATATGGATTGGCTCCGTAACTTGAGAATTATTCTCATGGTTGAGAAAATCGCATATGTCCTTGATATAGTGATGTCGATGCCTGAGGAAGGTGCTAGTCATAGGTGCCCAGCAAGCCAATCACGTGAGTGATGGCATGTGTGACTTGATACAGAATCTTTTTGCTTATTATATTTTGGCGTATATCACTTTATAACTATTGTATAAATGTATATATATATTGTGATGTCCTTGGATTTGTGCAATTGGAATCGAATCGTGATGAGATCACGATAATGAGATCGATTCACCTTTAAACACATATCCTAAATAATCCCGGTCATAGGTTACTCGAGAGGGACATCGTGATAACCGGACAGACTGGTGTGCTGTATACCAGTCCATATGATGGATGCAGCTGGTCTCATAGCTGCTCGTGTAGGGACACTAGGGATACAGTACAGGTGCTCATTGGAGAATGAGTTCACTGATTGATCTGCTTACGAAATGCTGGATGGTTGATGATGCCTTATTGTTAGACAGTGATTCCGTAGTCGTAGTGGTGTATCTGGTCCTTAGACTTGAGACACAAAGAATGTCCTGTATGAGTGCTCCACTCTTTGATACCAGACTTATAGGTTTGGTTGTCCCAGATCTAGTACAGCAGGTCATTGGGAGTGGTAATCAACCTTACGAGGGCTATTGAGTGTCGATAGAGGATCATCCACTCTCGGCGTCATGAGAGGAATATCCCATGTGTTCTTACTCAGACAAATCCCTGGCCAGGGTCATTCGGGTTGAGAAAGAAAGAGTTCTCCGTGAGAATCCGATTAGAGCGAGACTCGAGTAGAAACCGTATGGGTCTAACAGCACCATGCTCGATATACGGTCTCTGGGATATTAGAGGGATGAGGGACTATAGGTACATGGTAACTGAGGACAGACAGGTCTAATGGATTGGATTCCCCTGTATCGTCTGGGGACTACGGCGTAGTGGCCTAGTACGTCCATAGTCGATGAGTCAAGTGAATTATTACAGAGATAATAATTCATTGAGTTAGAAGGAGTTCTAACAGGTATGACTCACGGCCAGCTCGATATTGGGCCTAGAGGGTCACACACATATGGTAGGCATTGCGATGAGTAGAGGTTCGGATATGAGATATCCGATGGAGCCCTTGTCTTATTGGATGCAGATCCAATACCCACTAGGGGAGGACCCATTAGGGTTTGACAGGGGACCTATATAAATAGGAGGGATTCAGAGCCTCATAGGCTAGAGTCTTTGCTTGCCTTTCCTATTCTCCTCTCCCTCTCCACCTCACAGCAGGCCTGGAGTTTTGAGGAGCGTCGTCGCAACCCTGTTGTGTGGATCACCGCTAGAGAGGAGAACGCTTGACCTCCTTCACCCTCTCCTAAGGATCTGCAAGGAAACAGGGATATACGATCTCCCTACGTAACACAATCTACTCTATACACAGTTTTAAGTTTCGCGGATTTTGCGCACTAATCTTCGCACGACGACGAACATCTCTTTGGGAATCGGGGATTTTGTTTTCTTGTTCTTCCGCTGTGCATCTGATGTCGCCTCCAAGATTTCCCAACAGTGGTATCAGAGCTAGGTTGTTCGTGCGAATGATTGGTTTTGAACTGCGTGTGTTGTGGTTAGGAAGAATTTTGACGTAAAAAATCGTTGACGCAAAAACAAGGAAGGGCAGCAACAGTTGCTGCCCTCGATCTGCGTGCGTGCAACGCAGCCGAAGGCGGGTAGCACAGCTGCTGCGTCTGCAGCAGCCGGCCGGCGGCCTGCTTGCAGCAGGCTTGCGTCCGGCCGGGCTGGCAGCCAGCGGGCGTGCCACTTGCAGGCGAGGGCAGCGCCCTCGCCCCGCTGCACAGGCCGCCGCCAGCAGGTTGGCGGCGGCGGCAGCAGTAAGAGGGAATTAGGGTTTCGGGCAAAAAGATAGTTTTGTCCCTGTCAATTTGAAAAATTCCAGTTTCTGTCTTCTATCCAAATTACAAAAATACCCTTAGGAATTGAGAAATTCCCTACATATCCTTGATTTTAGAAAATATTAATTAATTAAAAGGTTTAGTTGATTATTATTTTTATTATTATCTAGTAGTCCTACGTGATGATGATTATTTATACATGTGATGTATGATATGTGGACGGATGATCATGGACCGTGTGATGTGTGTACTTGTGATTATTATTAATGAGGTCTGCGAGCCTCCATTATATTTCTCGTTTATTGTCGGGCCTGCGTGCCTATGATTAAGTTGTAATCACATGAGGAGGCGTAGCGAGAGCGTGGATGCGATAGAGGGACCCACGAGACGGACGATCGTGATGCATGAAGATGCATCAAGATGTCGACGGAACCGACGAGGACGAGATGGACGATCACAGGGCATGGAGATGCACCGTTGCACACATAGATCTTGATGTGAGTGATTAGGCCTACTGGCTCGGGCCTAATCATATTAAGTTGTGGTCCATGATCATCTGGTGTGATTGCT